TCGATCCTGAATGATAAAAGAATGGCCTGAGGTATCATGACCCTTTATTTCAAGTTGCACTACAGAGTTATAGTCATAAAAACCAGGAGTACTGAAGTATGCAGACATGGGTCTGCACCAGGTCCTTTGCATATATGTTATAGCTTCCAGTTTAGTGTTTTAATAGGATTCCTGAGTCCAGGAATGAGTAGGTCTCTGATTCTTGTGCCTTCTCTTGGTCTCTTTTCCTCCTGTTTGTTTTCATCCACATCCAATGTGTTAGCTTTTTTTTCCATCTTATTTTATTATTATTATTATTATTATTATTATTATTATTATCCCTCAAAAGTAGGTTTGTTGTGTAATGAGAGACAGAAAAGGAGTAGATCTAGATGAGAGGGGAGGGATGGAAGGACTGGGGAGGGTGAGAGGAGGGGAAACATAATCATAATATATTATGTGAAAAAAAATCTATCTTCAATAAAAGGAAAACCGGTTCTTGAGAGTTTAGGAATAGAGGGAACAAATCTCAAAATAATAAAGGCTATGTATAACAAACCTATAGCCAACATTGTATCAAATGGAGACAAACTGAGAATGATATAAGAATGTCCAGTCTGCCGGGTGGTGGTGGTGGTGGTGGCGGCGGCGGCGGCGGCGGCGGCGGTGGTGGCGCACGCCTTTAATCCCAGCACTCAGGAGGCAGAGGCAGGCGGATCTCTGTGAGTTTGAGGCCAGCCTAGTCTCCAAAGTGAGTTCCAGGAAAGGCACAAAGCTACACAGAGAGACCCTGTCTCGAAAAACCAAAAAAAAAAAAAAAAAAAGAATGTCCAGTCTTCCTTTCTTATTCAGTATAGAACTGGACTCCTTAGCTATAACAATGAGACAAGAGAAAGACATGGCAGGTACAGCAGCAGCAAGGGAAGAAGTCAAACTCCCCCTATTTGTAGATGACAAGATTCTTGACCTAGAAGACTCCACTGAGTCTACGGGAAAACTCTTTGATCTAATAAGCACTTTTTCTAAAACTCCATCATCGATTGACCTTCCTCTGACATATAAAACAATTTCCTGCAATAACATCTGTACACACTGGAATGTCCCACAGAAACTGTCCTGTGTTATCCTTCCACCTAGTACATTTAAAAGAACTAAAAAGCAAACCAATAGTATAAGGAGATAATGTGTAAATATTATACATCCTAAAAAATAAATATAAAGACTCTGCTAGGTTACATTTTATCATCTGGGAAGATTTGTGTTTCCTTGGTCACAGTCAATAAATCCCCCACCAGGATCTCTATGCTGCTGTCCCTAGTAGGCAGCAGCTTCCTAGTCTCTTCACTCGGGTTATTTTTGAGGCAAGAATAAAATAATAAATAAAAAACAATACATATCTATGCCCTTAAAAATGCAACAATATCAGTATAAGCTTTAATCCAGCTTTATAAATGTAGACTAATTTCATACAGAAAATAAGTATAAATAACTAGTAAAATTGAAAATCAATAAGGGCAATCTATTCAGGCAGACATTACAATTGAGTAATCTCTAAAATTAAAATGCTTGATGTCAATCCATGAATAGACAGATGGAAAATTGGAGTCTAGAATATTGATGGGTGATATTGCTCTGTATGCTGTGAATGTGTTGCTCTGATTGGTTGATAAATAAAACGCTGATTGTCCAGTAGCCAGGCAGGAAGTATAGGCAGGATAAGCAGACAAGGAGAATTCTGGGAAAAGGAAGGATGAGTCAGGAGATGCCAGCCTGCCGTCCAGGCAGCAGCATGTAATAACACACGGGTAAAACCACGGAATATGTGGCAACATATAGATTAACAGAAATGGGCTGAGTTTAAGTGTAAGAGCTAGACAGTAGTTAGCCTGAGCTAATGGCCAAGCAGTTTTAATTAATATAAGCCTCTGTGTGTTTACTTGGGTCTGAGCAGCTGTGGACCAGCTGGGACACAGGAAAACTTCCATCCTGAGAATATGAAAGTGAGTCTTTGTTACAACTAATGTTTCAAATCACCACAGTGAAAATGTTCTTTTAAACACCTGCTACTCAGGTAGCTGGATGGCCACAGTAATGAATACTTAGAACTACCTACCAACACCACACATGGGAGGAAAGTTGGCTGACTGGCAATGTAAATAAGGGAAATGAAAGTTTATAAGAAGTGAAGAGGAAACAATCTAAATATAAAAAAGACCATTTGCTTAAATTTTGAATTAGATAGTAATAACGTTTGTTGCATTTAACTAGACTGAAGAAGACCATTGCAGGCCAGAATGCAGATAGTCAAACCGTAGGAGGAACTGGCAGCCAATAGTAGCAGAATGAAAAGGAATGAAGCACCATAGCTAAGATTAAAAGAATTAGAAAAGGGGATAAAGATAAGAAAACAAACAACAGAGGAGGAGGCCCACTAATTCAGTTCCTTGTTCATCTATTTTAAAAACTTCCAACAGGAAAAAATATTCCTTGGGGCAATTGTTCTCTGGCCATACTCTGTCTCCATGAGAAGCAGGTTCTGGGAGACACAAAATATAATTATGGACCCAACACTGGTCATGTTTTTTTCTCATCAGCCTTCCCTTTCACTCTGTCAGGAAGATTCAACCTATGGAAATAAACATCAGGAGGACTCAAGTGGAGGAGCCAAAGCTATTGCCTCCTCCTTTGTTTCAATTGACACCTCCCCAGGCTTCAAAGTCATTGTCTCCATGCAGTGAATACCATGAGATTCTGAGGTTCTTTTTTTAAATTTACTTTTTAGAGCTTTATTGAGAGGGAGGAAGGGGGAGAGAGAGAGAGAGAGAGAGAGAGAGAGAGAGAGAGAGAGAGAGAGAGAGAGAGAGAACAGACAGAAGGAGAGAGAGTGGAAAGAGAAAAGGAGATGTTGAATGTTGAGGTTCTTAATATTCCCCCAAATGCTCATGCATTAGATTATTTTATATGTTTGGTCCCTGGCATGCACTATTGGAAAGTGGTGAAATCTCTATGAGGTCCCAGTATCAGGTCTTCAGGTCAGGGAGGATGTGGCCCTGAAGGAGACCAATGGGGTAGTCATTCTTTTTCTCTCTTATTATGATCTGAGTCATTTTTCTTTGCCATGAATTCCTATCATGTTGTGTATCCATCAGTCCAAAGGAATGAGGCCAAGCAATTATGAAAGGAAACCTTTAAAACTAGTGAACAAGAGTTAGTTCAGGCTGTCATGAAACTCACTCTGTAGACTAGGCTGACTTCAAACTCAGAGATCCACCTGACTCTGCCTCCCAATTGCTAGGATAAAAGGTGTGAACCACTGCTGCCCAGTCTAAAAGTTAGCCTTTCCATTGTCTATCTCAGGTTCTCTTACATCTCTTACCAGACTTATCTCTCCCCACTATAGCAGATATGCTTAGAATTTCAACTGACAAACGGAAGTCTCTGTGTGAGTATTATCATTGCAATTATTCTGCTTTCTTTTCAAGGACTTTCAATCAGCTTAGAGATCACAGGAAGTTTAATTAGAGTTCCATGAAACTATAAGTGACAGACCCTTTGAGAAGTCAACCTATAAGCTGTCATTCAGTAAAGATTTGTTTGGAGGGGACTGCTATTAGAATCAAAAGCATGAGTGTTTTACCCAAGCATTCACTTAAAGCTTGTTATTTTTAAAGCATCAAGTAACCTTCTAAAAATCAGAGCACGGTGGATGCATTGAGCATCATCTGGCTCTTGGTACTCACAGTGAGATTAAAAATAACAGTCAACTATAAAAAAAAGTACAATTCGATGAGAACCACATAAAAAGAATTCTGCACTATTGCATTTTTGTAGATTCTGTCAAGCCTGTATGCTTCATACAAGCAATCTAGAATTTGGTTGTAGCTTTAAATACCTATAGTCTAAAAGATGAGGTGCCAACCAGAGATATGTACCTACCATTAAGATAGGTTTTCATTAGCATAGTCTCTAGTTTCTACAAATGTAGAATAAAGTCAAATTATTCATTCAATTTTCTCAGATTTAAGAAATTTACTCTATTACTGCAAAAGAGCTCAAAAGACCCTACCTGATGTGCAACACGCCACTGAGCAATGGAGATACCTAGAGAACCTGCTACTCCTTGGTGGGCTTAGTGTGGGTGCTGCTCATATGAAGGTGACTCTCCCTTAAAAACACTATAACGCATGATCACATAATACCAGAATAACAGTGGGGGCAGCTTCTTCCCACTGTTCTGCTTCTTATGAGAATAATTTGTGGGGAAAACTGTCACCGTTGGCTACGGTCTGCACACCAAGGCAAATCTCACCTATTGGCCTTGTGGAGCTATAGAGAAGTTCACTTTGGGTCATAAACTGAACCCACATCAACTCCAGCCACATCAGGTCATGGTGTCACATGACACATAGTAGAAGGAAGAAAAGGGAAATAACCAGAGTCAACACAATGTCCAATGAATGGAATCGTCCCAACTGCATCACTGTGCCCTTTCACTTCCTCCACTGATACTCAGACATTTATTTGCAGAATTTTGAGATAGATCTATTTCAGAATGATGATCATTCAGTTTCTTGTCAATGAGATATATTTTACAAAACAGCGGAACGCATATCCTACAGTATAAAACACATGATTTCTTCAAATGCCACCGTTAAAAATAAAATTAAAGTTCATGTAGCCACTCCAGTTTAAAGATTAGAATAACAAAGTTTTCTGCCCATGTCCAATTAGATTCCTTCCTCCAACTGATTTTAAAAAATGTTATATTGCTTACCTGGGTTCACCCTCCTAACTCCAAGGCTTCAAATCCCCACCACAGTCTGCCTTACCAGGGTAAAGGATCTCATCCTCTTTATCACCTAGCAACAGAAAGGTGACTAGAATCAAATTAGTTATAAAATATTGTTAATTAGTAATAATTTTAATTGAGGTATGGAAATCGATCCTTAACTTCATTGTCTGAAAACTGAATTTCAATTTGATTCTGTTCCAACTGGGTGGTTAATGAAATACGAACACACCTGGCAGCGTGGCTCGCAGCAGCTGGAGAGACTTGATTGAAGCACGGTCACTGAAGGACAAAGCCTGGTGAATTCTGAAACACACGGTGTCACCTGTTGTGCCTTCGGGTCAGTGTTTTTCCCCATCAGTTAGAAAGATCTCAGTGCTGAGCTGCATGCATTCACCAGGTGATTTAGATGAGCTTAGACTGCCAAGCAGCTGTAGTCTTTAGCAGATGCAACCATCAGAATAATAATGAATGGTGAGCTGCACATTGTATCAAAAAGGGGATGATAGTCAGAAACAAAAGCAAAACAACATTTTCTCTTCCCAGCCCCTGTGAATTATGTGGACATAAGCACACAGTAAATTATTCCTCTGACAATTGGACATCTTTTGAGAACTACACTTCCATTTTAGCCCAGGATAAATGATGGGGTATGTGCGTGTATACTTTCATTTATCCTCTTTTTATTTTCAACAAGCTCTGCGAAATAAGGGAAGGGATTTTTACTGACAGAAATCTTGTGTGAGCCATAGCAAAGGGACTTCTTAGATATAGAAGTAGCAGTTGATCCAGTATCTGACTTTCACATCAAGAAAAGTAGTTATTGGTCAATTCTCTTTGAAACAGTAGAAGAAAGAAAGGAAATATATTTAGATTATTAAAAACAAAAGGTGCCTACCTTTGCTTTTTGTTTTGTTATTTTTAATTGTACTTTGTACTCACAAAAAATGTTTTCACTATTGAAAGCTAAACCTTTTTATATAATTTATATCCAATAACATCTACTGGATTTTTTTTCTACAAAGTATAGAGTTTATGGAAAATTTAATATTTTTCTTTGTTAATTAAATTAGTTATTTGGTAATTTTATAGACATATGTGATCCATTGTAATTATTCTCTGTCCCAATCCTATCTCATTTCTCTCTTACCCTTTATCGGAACACTGTCAAAAGAAGGACGTATGGTGAACAATGCCTTGGGGAACTGTGAGAGAGGTTCCAGGAAAAAAGGCAGATGGCCTCTTACCTCGGGTACATGTTGTTCCCTGGATTGTTCTTGGGTGTGAGTTTGTGCCCCCTGTGTGAAACATTTACATTCAATTTATAAGACATGTGGATTCTTGTTCAGTGTCAGAACATAGCTATAGAAACCAATCTGGTCAGTGTACCCTGAATCTGGATATGGCCTCTGCCTTGCTTCCATGATCTCCCAGCTATAATCTATAACATGTGTCAGGCAATTGTGTTTAAATTGGTCTGTCCTGAGAAAGGGCTGCTCTGTAATATTTAGTATGTGCAGTAAGCAATACTAAATGTTTGCATGTTTTTCTGAACTCAACCCACCTTCCTTGGCTTATTGCTTTCCTTGTTAAATTCATGTGCAAAGTATACTGAAACCGAAATCACATTGACTACAGCATTAGACTGTAGTCCTCCCCATTCTTTCAGGTTCTCAGGTCCCAGTTCTCACAGACAGATCTTCATAGGTTGATAAAAGTCAACAGTCTTATCATTTCTCCCACCTCCCTACCATGGCTTTTCCCCAACTCATGACTTTTTGTTTTGTTTTGTGACCCACTTAGTTTAACCTGGGCCACCTATATGACAACTAGATTGAAACTATCTACTGGACTCTGTTGGGGTCATCAATGAGTACACCACTGAAGGAATGATTTCCCGTTTTCCTGAATCTATCCATAGGAAATAGTTCAGTAGGGAGAGGTAAGGCCTCACAAGCCCCTCCTCCATCCTTGTCTGGCTGTTGGTAGGTACATTCTTATGCAGACCTAGTACAGTAATCCAAGTCTGTTTAGTGTTCAAAATTGTAATGGCTGTGTATTTCTTGGCCCTTTTCTCTCTTCCTGCCTGAACAGTCTTTCTGTTCCAGCTTCCACAATTACTCTCAACACCTTATACAGCTGTGCTGGATAGTTTCATGTCAATTTGACACACACTAAGTCATCTGAGAGGAGGGAACCTCAATTAAGAAAATGCCTCCATAAGATCGGATTGTAGGCAGGCCTGTAAGGCATTTCCTTAATTAGCTATTGCTGGCGGAGGGCCCAGCCCATTGTGGGTGGTGCCATCCCTGGGCTGATGGTTCTGGGTTCTATAAGAAATCAGGCTGAGGTAAGCCCTGGGGAGCCACCCAGTAAGCAGCACCCCTCCATGGCCTCTGCATCAGCGCCTGCTTCCAGATTCCTGCCCTGCCTGTGTCCGTTTTCTTACTTCCTTTGATGATAAACTTTGACGTGGAAGCGTAAGCTGAATAAACCCTTTCCTCTCCACCTTGCTTTTTGTCCTGGTGTTTCATTGCAGCAATAGAAACCCTGACTAAGACAACAACCATGACTCTGTATGCATCACTATTTGCTCAAAGAAATGTTTCTCTGATTGAGGCTGAGAGTGGCCATTTTCTGTAGAAAGAACACACACACATGTAGGAAGCAGTTTGGGTCTATGCCAGTTTAGCTGAGCAGAATTGACCTACCTACCCCAGGGCCCATGACTCCTGCCCGCCATGGACTTTTAAATAGGTTTATAGTGCCAGGTATGGATTTCTTCCTGTGAGATAGATTGGTTATCTCCACATCTGTGTCACTGTTACCTGGCAGGCTGGCAGTTCTCACTGATGCCTGTTCTCCCTCAGAAGTCTGCACTGCACTTTATGGTACTATAAAAGCTACTTGGCAAGGAGGAAGCTTCCTAGTTCAGTTCCAGGTGGATATCTCGACATTTCTTCTGGTTGAGTGTATCTAGGAATGAAATTTGAACTTTCTTAAGGAATAAGATGTTGCAGCATTATATATTCTGCTAGTAATGTGCCTCCTTTGGGAAAACTCCAGTTCAAATGCTAAGTCATTTTAAAATAATGTTCCTAACATTTAGTTTGGAAAATTCTCTGGACACCAGATGTCAAACTATTTTCAGTTACAGGGAAAGTCAATAACTTCTGGACTGTGGGAGACCTTTCCATACTATAATATGTCTAGATAGACAATTCTAGATTTCCCTTTTACATTAAGCCCCAAAGTATTAGAAAGTTTAAAATAAGAAGTTCATTTCTTGTTGCTGACGCGTGTTAAATATGCACCATCACAAAGCTCTGTTCAGCACACATTTTCAGGTAACAAGATAATGAAGACTTGTGGGAAGAAAAAATAATTGAAAAGTTCTAGGCTTGTGACTACTTGAATTTCTATGTGACTGGCTTTGACAGTACAAATGAGTGGAGGTGACATGAATAACAAAGGCTCATCTCTTCATCATTTCTTCCCACAGTTTGATCGACAGCCATTAATGTTCCTGCATTGCACACTCGTCAGTAATAATGCCTTCATCGATAGTAAAAAATTCCCATGAAACTACAAAGATAATATGGTAGATGCCTTTCTCTAATGAAGTCCATTGAAATCTCAGGATTCAAGTTTTCCAGATCTGTTTTGAAGAAAACAATAGACCTGTAAAATGTGACTTTAATAAAAACTTGTTATTGTATTTCTCTGCTGTTAAGGATTAAAATCAAAATAGATATTAACACCATCCAATGTTACAATTTGAGAAAAGATTATTCCCCAATGCTATATTTACTCAAGCAATAGTTGAGAATCTGTGCAAATATATGTGATCAGAGATGCACTCACCAGGCTCATATATGAGTGAGAAATAATATTGAAGAACTTAAAAACATTTGAATTATGGTGAAGAATGTAATACTTAATTTGAATTACAAGAATGGAACCTCAAAAAGTAAGTCAAATATGAAATTTTATTACACTGCAAAATACTTCACACCCAGATTTACATGAGCTACAAGCAAGCAGAGTCTCAATGCTTTCAAAATGTTCATGTTTACATTAAAGGGATCTTCAATGTAGTGATTATCATTGTTCAGAAAACAATTTCTAATTTTTGTTTGTGAACTCACCTCTTACATACATATGAAAGTATATATGTGTGTGAACATATAATTCAAATTAATCACATTAATATTGAAAACAATCATTACCCTTTAAAGATAAAATGCTTTGACCTAGATAATAATAACTAAGGTACAATGGAATTCTCCTTCATATAGTTATTATGTATACTTATTAGGTCTTTTACAGTTTCACAAGACAAATGATTTATGACATATTTCCTTACATTTCTTAACTGAGTTGTTTAAATAGTTCATGTATTAATGTCTCTTATATTATTAGTATATGTCTTCACATGATAGATTATTTCTGTTACATGCCAACTATCATGGGGGAATAATCTGACTTTTTTATGTAAGAACCTCTTAGTTCTGGTCACAACTTGCCATCTGCCATGCATTTTGAGAACTTGAGAGGAAATCTATCCTTCTGTTACATGAAATAACTGAGAGAGAAGTCACTGTGATATTTGTCAAAGTTTGTGTCCTTTAGAGTGAGCAAGGTCGCTCTGTCTCCTAGGTAGGTATTTTGCCTGGTTTTGTTCCTGCTTCGGGTTTCAATGGCCAGAGCAGGAAAATGGCCGAGGATTCTTACTAAATGGACAAGGCAAAGGCATAGCCTGCTTGGTCTTTCTCCCCTGGGTAGAAGTGGCAAGCTGAAATACCGGATGTGTTCTTTGCTTTTCTGCTATGAGCCTGCACCTACAGGAAAAGAGGAAGGCGGGGCGAGCCTCAGACTGGCAGCATGGGGTCTACATGGGGTCCTTCACGTCATTCTGGAAAGAGAATTAGAACTTTAAGAGACTCACGGGGCCCCGAGACTCTCCAACAGACCTGTTGTTAACTTCGTTTACCGCAAAGCTAGCCTACCCTCCTGCATCCCTGAGAGTCATGCTTCCACGGCATCAATTGCGGTTTTGTCCGTCATCCCACAGGAACCACCCAACAGCGATCCCACTTAAATTCCATAACAACACTTCAAAGATAACAACTTTTGAAACTGACTGAAATCAGCCCGGTGGTGGCGCACACCTTTGATCCCAGCACTCTGGAGGCAGACACAGGTGGATCTCAGAGTTAGAGCCCAGCCTGGTCTACAGAGCCAGTTGCAGGACAGCCAGGGATACACAGAGAAACCCTGTCTCAAACAAACAAACAAACAAACCTCGCTAAAATGATATAAATGAGGAAAAGAGATTCTTCCTTAAGAAGGTCACACATGTTAACTTCTTCATAATCCTGTGAGTCATGACCCCTTCACACAGGGGTCACATATCAGATATCCTGCATATTAGATATTTGCATTACGATTCAGAGCAGCAGCAAAATTACAGTTATGAAGTAGCAATGAAATAATTTTATGGATGGGGTCACCAAAACATGAGGAGCCGTATTAAAGGGTCACAGCATTAGAGAACCACTGTGCTAAAATCTATATTGAAACATCTTTATTGAAGCCTGACTCTGGTTTATACTATCTAGTTCTGAAAGCCATGAAAGCTGTTTTGGCCTGAGTCAAGATCCATAAAACATTAGGAAAACTCTTCAGGTTCCTGCATGTGACAATAGGGGTGCTGTGTTTCTTGCCTCTGTCCTCCAAACATTAATACAACCAGCATAGAATTTGAGTAGCATAAATTACCAACCTTTCAGAAACCCACTCTGTTGTAGGTGATCATTTTCTGGATTTTTGGGTAATGCAGACTTTTTCTGTCTGATTTTATACACATGGCCCATGCAACATATGCTCCTGTGTCTGTTTTCTGTTTCTGCACTTGGGTAGAGTAATCCTGATTGAGGCCCTTTCCTCTTCTGTTGGAGCCTTGGAAAGACTGCTGCACATTTTCTTTCTCTGCTATTCTTGTCTTTCTTTCCAAACACACTATCTTCCTTTTCCTCTCTGTCAGATCTTCTTTAGGAAGGGTCTTTCTCACTGCCTATTGGCTATCAGGCTGAGTGTAAATTGTGCTTTGTACTATCTTGGATCCTTACCTTTTCTGGTGACTTTCCATTTGCTAAACCAAAGGCCACATTTTTGGGTTGGTTCATTTGTCTTTCCTTCCATAACATCTGTCTCTACGGAATTTCACCTTTTTTCCTGAAAATAGCACCCGAGTAAAAGGCAGCTCTGCTCGGCTGTCCCTGTCATCTCCGGCTCCCTTCCGTTTTCTTTGCACATTTCCACTTTGTACATCAGTATCACAAGGATTTACTGTCAAGTCTTTTCACTTCTTACTCTCTAGCCATGAGCACCACTGTGGTGGTATTGTGTTCCCCAAAATATTGTGCACCCTAATAAACTTATCTGGGATCAAAGAACAGAACAGCCACTAGATACAGAGGCTAGAAAATGGTGGCAATCACACCTTTAATCCTAGCATTCCAGAGGCAGAAATCCCTCTGGATCTCTGTGAGTTCAAGGCCACATTGGAAACAGCCAGGCATGGTGACTCACGCCTTCAATCCCAAGAAGTGAGGGCAGAAAGCAGAAAGGTATATAAGGCGTGAAAACCAGGAACTAAGGCTGGTTAAGCTTTTAGGCCTTTGAGCAGCAGTTCATCTGAAACCCATTCAGATATGAGGACTCAAAGGCTTCCAGTCTGAGGAAATAGGATTATGAGGAACTGGCAAGGTGAGGTAGCTATGGCTTGTTCTGCTTCTCTGATCTTCCAGCATTCACCCCAATAACTGGCCTCGGGTTTGATTTTATTAATAAGAACTTTTAAGATTCCTGCTACATACCACAGCTTCGCTCAGGTTCCTGCTCTGTGCTGCAGACATGACACGGCATGAGGAGCAGAGCTGAACCTTATTATTCTGCTGCAGCTCAGATGCACAGAGAAATATGATTTGATGGCAGCTCCTTCATGTTGGTGATGTTATCCTTGTGTATCCTAAATCACCGACCAGGAGGAAATACAGTGTTGAAAGCAGAATCCCTCTTCTGATCATTACCCTAAAATCATGTCCTCCTGATCCATGTCAGAAGTTTAGCCCTTGTGGAATTTGTAGCTCCGGTGCTGAGGCTGCTGGCTTCTCTCTAGATCTTAGGAAGCACCAGCAAGCAACCTCCATTTACTCAGTCAGTACTCTTTTATTTGCCATCACAGGATCCAGATGCTGTAGTGGACAGGACTACCCTTTGCAGTTGCTAAGACCACGGGGCTTTCTGTCCACTGAGCCAATGACCCCGGGGCATATTGTGCATGTTCTCTCTGCTGACTTACATCCTTATGTTTACCAACGCCGGCAGCTCCATGAGTTGCTGCCATGCCTCCAATTCAGCCCCTTGGTTAAATTGTCCTTCACATGTGATTCACTTCATGCCATTTTATACCTTCCCTTTCAGCCCTTCAGCAGACTGTTAACCCTAATCTTAGTTGTCCTTTTTAGAAGGGAAGTTCAAGGGCAACAACTTAACTGTCCTCTTCTGACCACGCTTCTCCGTCCCGAGTAAGCTGAGCAGGTTCGTGTGGTTACGTCTCCTACACAGTAGGCCTGTTTTTCCCCAGAATCTATGTAGGAAATGAGGACAAAGACTCTCTGTGTACAATACTCTCAACAATTTTTCTAACACGGCTTTGACTATGGCATGCACAAAGGGGAAACAATGCAGTTATCCTGGCTAGTTCAGTTCATATCCTCCTGACACAAGCTAGAGTCATCAGAGAGGAGGGAACCTCACCTGAGAAAATGCCTCCATGGGATTAGGCTGTAGGCAAACCTGTAGGGAATCTTCTTAATTATTGAATGATGTGTGAGGGCCCAGCCCAGTGTGGGTGCAGCCACCCCTAGACTGGTGGTTCTCTCTTCTGTGAGAAAGCAGGCTGAGCAAGC